CGCCGCCGCCGCCGCGCCGCCTCGCGCTCCCTCAGCCGCGAGCCCCGCTCCGGTCGTCGCCTCTGCCGGAGCCTCTCTCTGGACCCCTGACGTCACCCGCTGTGACCTCACCTCCCCGCAGCGTGGCGATTGGTTACGCCGGGAACGCCGCGCCGGCCCCGCCCGCCCCGCGGCACGCTGGGAGTTGTAGTCCTGCAATGTGTGTACGGAAAGGTGGGGGGAGTATCGGAGGGGTTGTGGGTTCGAGACCCCGCCGGGCCAGGGGGGGAACCAGCGCAGGTGTCCCCAGGCCGGTGTCACCTCGCAGAAGCCACTATTGAACCCAAACCAGCTCTTTCCCCCCACCCCGGATCGTAAAGCAGCGTGTGGCAGATGGCCAGGCCTCGCAGCACGAGTCACCACACCACCTTTCCGGTGCGACACACCGGCGAGGCATTTCCCGGTGCCTCAGTTTACCCAAAACCGGACGGGGGAGGCACCCCGGAGGTGACAGCGGGATGCGTGACGATGGCGCTTAATGGGTGTCCCTCAAGCTGGCGGGGCTCTGGCGTGTCACCTCCACACCCGGGGGCGGACATCCTGCATTCCTGACCCCCAGCATCACCCCGAAAAATTTGCCCCAACGCTTCCTCCCCGTGTGGGGAGGGAACACAGCCGGGAAACCCCAAAAAAGTCAGAGAAAATGGGGTAATTTCACCCCACAAGTGTGTGCGGGGGGGGGGTGAGTTCATCCATTTAATGCCCCAAGGCGCCCCTCCGGCCACGGAGGCAGGAGGTGACACGCTGAAGGGGGGGGTCAGATCCACACCCCCAGCAAAGGGGAACCGGGTTATATTTATATATTTAAATATTATATATTAAATATTATACATTTATACCCCTAGAGGGGTTCAAGGCCTGGCTGGATGGGCCTTTGAGCAACCTGGTCTGGTGGGAGGTGTCCCTGCCCAGGGAAGGGGGGGTTGGAATTTAGGGGACCTTTAAGGTCCTTTCCAACCCAAACCATCCTGTGATTCCATGATATTTGAGCAGAGCAGCTGGAGAACTCGGGATACAGAGTCCCCCGTTTCCCCAGCCTTGATGTAACTGGGAGAACAGGAGGAGGAAAATGAGGATTTTTTTCCCCCATATCTTTAAATCCTTGTATTTCGTCTGCGTAATACCATAGTTTTGTAACGGGGATAATTTCAGCTTAATAGGGATGAGGATGGCACCTTGTCCCTTTGGGGACACCTTAACACCATTCTTGCAACACCCAGACCCTTGTACGTGGGGGGAGAAGGAATCTGGGGGGGACCCTGAGCTCTCCTGGCTCAGAAAATTGGGGTGGTGGCTGACCTTGCCCACCCTGGGAGCACCCCATGGTTTGTGGGGTGGTTCCCTGGCCGTGCTGGGGACAAAGTGGAGATGGGAGAGGGAAATGGGGAGTATCAGAAGCCATGGGGATGAGGGAAGTTGCAGGAAATCATTGAGAAAGGGGGAGCCATGGGGAGCCAGAGCAGTTCTGGGGAGCAGGGGAGCTACAGGGACCCATAGGAAGCTGTGGGGAGCTATAAGGAATGGGGGAAGCTATGGGGGACAAAGAAAGCCATATAAAAAACAGGGGGGCTGTTGGGGACAAGGGGATCTGTGGGTTCAGCTGGGGAAGGGGCTCCTCCACGCCCCACTGCAGAGCAGAGCCCATTCTTATCCCTCTGGGGGTACCCAGGGTGTGTGTGGGGGTGACACCTCCATCTCTACCCCAACTCCCAACCCAGCACGGTCATGGGGTGAAGCAGCCCCTCATTAGAGTCACGCAATTAGGACAGGAAGGTGACCCAACCTCAGGTGCTGCTGCTCCCCGGGGTGATCCCTGCCAGCACCCACCCAAGAAGCCAACAGGTAAAGGGTGTCTCTCAGCAAAAGCCCCCCAGGTGGGCAGGGGCACCCACAAGATTTGGGGATCAGCCCTGGCCAAGGCTTCCCAGGCACAGAATAGTCAGAAAAAGCCCCAAAGGAGATGGGGCAAAACCAGATAAAGAAAAAATACCCCAGAGCTGGCACTGGGGAAACCCAGGGAGGGGCTCCTCCTCCCAAGTGGGCTCCTTTGCTCCAAAAAACAGAAAAAGGGAATAACATCTCAGTATGAATGAGCCTTTCAGTCCCTAAAGGGGGTCCAGGAAAGCTGGGGAGGGGCTCTGGATGAAGGAGAGGAGCCATAGGAGGAGGGGGAAGGGTTTGACACTGAAAAAGGGGAGATTTAGATGAGATATTAGGAAGATATTTTTCACTCTTGAGGGTGGTGAGAGCCTGGCCCAGGTTGGCCAGAGAAGCTGTGGCTGCCTCATCCCTGGAGGGGTTCAAGGCCAGGTTGGAGGGGGCTTGGAGCAACCTGGGCTGGTGGGAGGTGTCCCTGCCCAGGGCAGGGGGGTTGGAACTAGAGGATCCTTAAGGTCCCTTCCAACCCAAACCATTCTATGACATTTCTATGCTTTCACCCACACCCGTGTGGCTGCAGCAGGGCTGGGGTGAGGAGGTCCAACTGCATCTGGGTGGTTTGTGAAGTCTCAACCCTCCCTAAAGCCCCTTCCCCAACATCCTCAAGAATGGAGATGACAGATCAGGGTGTCTCCATTCTTGGCTGCTGCTTCTCCTTCCATGTAGACCAGGCCCTTCCCAGCACCTACCCAAGCCATGGGAAGCCCCACTCTGCCTCTTCCAGGGTTTTGGCTGCATCCCAGTCTCCCCAGTACTCTTGCCCAGGTGATTTATCACCCCAGGGAAGCTATCAGCCCCCAATTAAATCCACTTCGGGCAGCTAATTGCTAGAGCAGATGTTGGTGGGCATTGGGGTACAAGGCTGGGGACATCTCTGCATGTGCAAGGGCTCAGGCTGTGGCAAAGAGCCCACATCAGGCAGGGGAGAGAGTGAAACAAGGAGTTGGAAACAGGAGAGGGAGGCCACCAGACACTGATCCCTCAGAGATGAGCATCCCAAAGGATACAGGAACCATGTGGTAGACCCAGAGCTCACCCCACCTCAGGAAGCAGCACTGCAGCGGTAATAAGAAAAAAAAAAAACCAAAACTGAAATGTTTATTCCCACCTGGCATCACTTCCCTGCACCGCTGGTGGCAGGTCACAGCTGGACAAGGTGGTCACCCTCATGAGGTGACCCCGTCTCCTCGTTCGCCCCCACAGTGCATCCCACAACTCCAGACAGGGTTGGGGAAGCCCTCGGGGCCGAGGGCTCCAGCAGCAATTTGTGAAGGCAGGGGGGCTTCAAGGAAGGCAGTCAGGGTGGAGGGGGGGGTCCCAGCAGCCGCTGGGGGCTGCGTTTGGCGTTGGAGCCTCCTCGGCATCCCCTCCCCGGGGCACGGAGCGACTGCAAAGTGGATTTCTGCTGGACTGATGCGATGCCTCATGCTGCCAGGCAGCAGTTCCCAGAGGCAGCAGCTCGTTCAGGAGGAATTCATGCTCTCCCACTGCCGGAAAATGCGGAACACTTTGCAGGACTTCACCGAAAGACTCTGCAAAGAGAGGGGAGCAGAGCGACAACCAGAGGTTAAGGTACCTGCAACCACCACTGACTCACCTACAAAGCACATGAAGAGAAACTACAGCAACCCCTCTCCCCCCTTCTGAAATATCCTAATGGGCTGCCAAGACACCAATTTGCTCCTCTTCATTAGCCCAATTTACCCAACTGGAGGGGAGAACAAGGTGGCTGCAAGCAAGGGGCAGGACTCCCCGTCCCCCCTTCATCCCAACTCCTATTTGTGTCTGGTCCCACAGGACCTGCTGGTGCTTTCCTGGTACGTGGCACAACCAGAAGGGACCAGCCCGTTGGGAACACGACTCACACGAAGCCCCCAAGATAAATACTGTGTCCAGCTTTGGAGTCTTCAACACAGAAAGGACATGGCCCGGCTGGAACACGTGCAGCAGAGGGCCACGAAGATGATCAGAGGGATGGAGCACCTCTCCTATGAAGACAGGCTGAGGGAGCTGGGGTTGTTCAGCCTGGAGAAGAGAAGGCTCCGGGGAGACCTTATAGCG